CTTAATGGTCAATCAGTAATCTGTTGTACTGAGTATTGATAACTAATCCAAGGGTATATTATTAATAGTTCGATGGTGAATGAACCAACTGTGTATAGTGTGTTAACTGCACCAAATTACCTTAATGGTCAATCAGTAATCTGTTGTACTGAGTATTGATAACTAATCCAAGGGTATATTATTAATAGTTCGATGGTGAATGAACCAACTGTGTATAGTGTGTTAACTGCACCAAGTTACCTTAATGGCCAATCAGTAATCTGTTGTACTGAGTATTGATAACCAATCCAAGGGTATATTACTAATAGTTCGATGGTGAATGAACCAACTGTGTATAGTGTGTTAACTGCACCAAGTTACCTTAATGGCCAATCAGTAATCTGTTGTACTGAGTATTGATAACCAATCCAAGGGTATATTACTAATAGTTCGATGGTGAATGAACCAACTGTGTATAGTTTCTTGACGTTTCTTGTTCTTCAATAGTTTCCTATATTTAATGAAGGAAAAACAATCAGATTCAGCGTTCTGAAGCTACTCCTTTCCTGACGTTTCTTGTTCTTCAATAGTGTGCTATATTTAGTGGAACAAGTTCAGATTGTGAATTTCAGCATGCCTGAAGTTTCTCCTTTCCTATCGTTTCTCGTTGTCCTATAATGTGCATTCCTAGTAGTCGATGGTGAAACGGATTTTTCTTTGCTGATACAGTTCTATTTAAATTTTTTAATATCACAACCCAGTCAATAAACTGCACGTGTTTTAAGTAAGTGAACCTTATATTTTATTAATTACCGCTTGTTACCTAAACGTGTATTGATTTTTATCCTAGGTAAAATTTTACAGCATTTTACAGCATAAAATTTTACAGCAGTAATTACAATGTAACGTCCAAGATTTCCAGATGTATGATATTAGAGTTCACTGTCATGTATAAAACAGGCTGGAGTTCCGATATCGGAGTGTCAATATGTGTTTGGTAGTTCTGGTTTGTGTGATTAGGCTTAATACTTGTTTGTTTCTGTTAGTGCAAAGCTACGCAATTGGCCATCTTCTGTCCACTGCAGGGAATCGAACCCCGTATTTTAGCTTTGTAAATCCGTAAAACTTACCGATGACCAACCGGGGGACGTACTTAATGCAACGACAGTGCTTACGGATATTTTCCGATTTCTATCGGGTGTAAACTTCTGTTGTCTGCGTTTTCAGACGGTAGACCACCAGGGCAACAGACAGAGAAAGCATTAAATAATTTTTATCTTCAATGGAAAAACTTATATATAATAGGAGTTAAATTATAGTTTATTTATTACACGTTAAACTTAAATTTCTGACTTAGCGCCATTGTTTAATTTCTAGATTACACATTACTTTACGTTAACATTTCTAAATTTCTCGTGTCGCAAGTCCAGTGCCACATTTTCTCTGGTGTTCCCCGATCAGCCAATAAAAGGACTTCACAGTCACGGGCATAACTACCTATCTGTTTGGCCCCCGAGAATCCCCCCTTCCTCTTGGGATCCCCCATAATTGTTAGCAACAGTAATTAAGGGCCATATGAAGTCTACTATCGTCTCTTATCACCATATAGCTCTAAACTAACCTTGTTTGCCAGAAGAACACAAGCACGACGCTTTCGTTATACCAGCCTTGTTTGCCAGAAGAACACAGGGTACGACACTTCCGTTAAACCAACCTTGTTTGCCAGAAGAACACAGGGTACGACACTTCCGTTAAACCAACCTTGTTTGCCAGAATAACACAGGGCACGACACTTTCGTTAAACTAACCTTGTTTGCCAGAAGAACACAGGGCACGACATTTCCGTTAAACCAACCTTGTTTGCCAGAAGAACACAGGGTATGACACTTCCGTTAAACCAACCTTGTTTGCCAGAAGAACACAAGCACGACACTTTCGTTAAACTAACCTTGTTTGCCAGAAGAACACAGGGCACGACACTTTCGTTAAACTAACCTTGTTTGCCAGAAGAACACAGGGTACGACACTTCCGTTTAGTAGATGAACTTTGTTGTCCAGGTCGTTTTTCCATTTCATGACGGCGTCAAACGTCGCTGTTCTTGTGACATCAAAAACGATGAAGGCTCCGACTGCTTCCTTGTAGTAAACTCTTGTCATGTTGCCGAACCTCTCTTGTCCTTCATAAATCGAACACATTTTGTGTTTGTATACATTACTTTATTTATTCTTTTAAGTATAATTTTTAAGAGTAAAATCATCAAATATTCTATAACAACTAAGTCTATAGAACAAACTTTGTAAAAAAACAACAACAACCAAAAATCAAAAACACCCGTAAAATCAAATCGGTATTTTCTCTCACATGCCATAATTTTTGTTTTGGGTTAATTCAAACGAAGAACAAGATATTGATTGGCCATTAAGGTAAGTCGGTGCAGTTAACACACTATACACAGTTGGTTCATTCACCATCGAACTGTTAGTAATATACCCTTGGATTGGTTATCAATACTAAGTACAACAGATTACTGATTGGCCATTAAGGTAAGTCGGTGCAGTTAACACTTCTGAAGCTACCCCTCGCTGAATCTAATTGTCTTTCCTTCATTAAATATAGGAAATATTGAAGAACAAGAAACGTCAAGAAAGGAGTAGCTTCAGAACGCTGAATCTAATTGTCTTTCCTTCATTAAATATAGGAAAATATTGAAGAACAAGAAACGTCAGGAAAGGGGTAGCTTCAGAACGCTGAATCTAATTGTCTTTCCTTCATTAAATATAGGAAAATATTGAAGAACAAGAAACGTCAGGAGAGGGGTAGCTTCAGAACGCTGAATCTAATTGTCTTTCCTTCATTAAATATAGGAAAATATTGAAGAACAAGAAACGTCAGGAGAGGGGTAGCTTCA